ACACAACTAAAGAAAATACAACAAGATCCATCACTCAGAACATTCAAAAGCTTTTAACAAATCTTTGGGAGTTAGCTCATTTACTTAAATTAACAATTCTAAATGTCATGGCTTGGTAAAATGTACTTATTTCAGATATATCATATGAAAATCACAAATGAAACAGAAAGGGGTCATATGGTGACTTTTTTTCTGTTCTAAGAAACACGGAATTACTTAAATTCCTCTCAAATCTTTGTTTCTTGAAATAAAAAAATGCACACATGTTAAATATAAGAGACTCAAAGAAGTTTATAAAAGTCAAACTAAATCTTTCTTTTAGATGGAAAACTTAACCCAGACATGATTCCATTCTCCAAGTCCAGTCCTGGGAGATCAAGGAGCTATAGAAAGATTCATGGTGCCCAAACAAGACAAAAGCAATGAGAAAACCCCTAGAGAAACAGAAGGAAGTGTTTCCTTGGTGTGTGTTGGGGTTGGTAGGGGCAGGAAAGTAGAACCTAGAATGGCAGAGGAACAGGGAGGGATGTTTTCCTACAGTGCACTTTCCTCCACCCTGCAGTGCCCTAAGTTGGGCAACAACTCTAACCCAAGTAACTGGGTGTTCTGCAATAGAAATACAATATTTCTTCTATAATGATCTTGTATCCTGCATACTGCTAAACTACCCTACATTTAAGCAATTCCAAAGTTTATCTCTTTACACATTTTAGCATGTCTGAAATTGAAGTAAATCTTCTTGTGATCTAATTTATAATCACAATTTTCTAGGTAGTAGTCATTATCAACTGTGAATGTGAAACTTGGTCATAGATGTTGTTATCATTCCAGTTAAATTGTGTCAATAGTACTACATGTGCTACTGTAACTGCCAATTAAAATGTCTTTAAAACAATTATACTATTATTAAGTTTTAGAAGGAAAAGTTATTAAGTACACAAACAGAGTAACAGAACATAAACTAGATATTAATGTAGTACATATTCATTATGGGAGGAATAATCAAAATAACATATTTACTTGCAAAACAATAACCAAGAGCTATACAGAAAGAAAAATGTCCATAAATACATGTAGTAGTGTGACAAGTTGTTACTACAATGTGTGCTGAATAATTATCTACCAAACATTAAGCAATAAAACCAAGAGCAGAACTTCCCTAAACCCTGGAAAGACTGGAGAAACTGATAGATTCCTCAGTACAAATAAAGACTAATTCATGTAGAATGTAGAACTCTTTTTAAGGCAGCATCAGAATTTAATTGGCATCATTTTTTTCTTTCTTAGCAGAAAATGATGAATCTTAACAACTGATTAAAAATATATAGATTAAATGCAAAAGATTATGAGTCCTAATAATACTCATTATTGTAGTTGAAAAATGACATCTGAGTTTCTTTACAATCCTTTAATTTCTTTTTCCTGCCTTATTGTGCTGGCTGGGATCAAGAAGAATGGCAGGTGGGAGCCTGTTGACTTTTACTGATTTTAAAGGCAAAGTCTTCAACATTTCACTTTAAACATGAGGTTTAATAAAAATTGTAAGTATCTTCAAGAGTTAAGGAACTTCCCTAGTTTGCCTCGAGTTTTAATCATGAATAGATTTTAAGTTTTGCCAAATAATTTTTCTATATCTAGGGAGATAATCGTGTGAGTTTTTCTTTTTCATCTGTTGATGTGATAAATTGTATTCATTAATTTTTCTGATGTTAAATCAATCTTGAATTCTTTGATTAAACCCTCAGTGGCCGTAGTGTATTATTATGCCTCTTACATATTGCTGGATTCAATTAAATATTTTGTTTAAGAGTTTTTGCACCTACGTTTATAAGTGACCTTTCTACTTTCTTGAATAACCCTTTTAATTCTTAGTAACAAGATTAAGCTGGTCTCATAAAATGTGTTTGGGAGCACTCCTTCTTTTTCATACCTCTTGAATCATTTGTTGAGGATTAAAAGTACCTTTTCCTCGAATACCTGGTGAGACTTGCTAGTGAAGTCATCTGGTCCTTGAGTTTGCAATGTAGGAACAATTCTACTAATACAATTTCTATGTTTATTGCTCTATTAGGTTTCCTATTTCTTCTTGAGTTGGAATGGTGAATATAACCTATTATAGAACACAGTCTATTATATTTATATTTTTATATTGTACTTAATATTTTATTAGGGTATAACCCATTTCATCTATATTTTCTAATTTATTTCTATGAAAGTACCTGTAAATTAATAGCACTTTATCTTTTTAGTGGCTGCAGCTACTACACTTTTACATTCTTAATGCAGTTTGCGTCATTTCTTGTTTGCTTTCTCCCTCTCACCACTGGTTTGTCAATTATATTAGTCTTTCAAAGAACAGTTTGTTATCCTTAATGCTGTATATTATACATTTTAATCACATTCATTAATTACTATTTTTATTTTTAGTTCTTTTTTTTTGTTCTTTGAGTTTATGTAACTGTTGTTTTCTAATTTGAATAATTACTTTATTGTTTTTTTTAATTTTTCCTACTTTCCAAATGTTGACATTCTTCTGCTAAAAGGCTAGACATTTCCCTCTAGTTTTTGTTGAATCTTACAAAGTTTGATATGTAGCATTTTCATTATTGTCAGTTCAAAATGTTTTCCAATTTCTGATGTGATTTCTTTTCTGATCCACAGGTTTACTTCACAAATGTATATTTTTAAATTTCCAAATAGATAATTTTGAAATGATTAATTTCTAGGTTAATCACATTGTGGTCAGAGGATGTGGCTGCATGATTCCAATCCTTAAGTTTTTGTGGAGGTTTGTCCTATGAAACAGAAAATGTTCCAATTTTGCATGTGTTTGAGTAAAACATGTATTCTGTCGTGTTGGACACAGTGTTCTGTATATGTCTATTGTAGGAATTTCACTGATCATCTTGTTTAACTCCAGGAAAAATGAATGTAAGTGTGATACAGTTGTCACTGATGATGAAACCATATGGCAAGGACTATGAATGGTGAAGAAGTCATACACACACTACATTTTGTTCACAATTCCCAGTGGTGTGTTCTAATCTTCAGCATTAATGTCACAGAATTACTGTTCATAAACAGAATGATGTTAGGCCACTTCCATTATTCTTCTCCCACCAAAGTCAACCTTCATCACACAGGAAATTTTGGAACACATGTGTATCGTGCTTATACAACATGTTTATGAAAAAATCAGAAAATCAGCTACTATGTGTTCATAAAAGAAAACAAAAACTTTAATATTATACATTATACACCGCAGCTAACAATATCAATAAAACAGGATATGTTAGCACACAAAGAAGTAATTTATCTGCTGTAAGCTGCTGAAGAAACAACCAAACCCATGTGTCTTGAAAATGCAAGTATTTCTTACCTGACATCTGCTGAAAATGATTCTCCCATTATTCTACTCAAAAAAATAATCTGAAATTATTGTGCAGGCAGTGAAAGCTGAGATGCAGGTGAAAGTTTCCATATGCCCCTTTTTTTAAATCTTGGAAGCTAATCATGTCATTGAATTGTCTCATTTCTAAATACAAAGACTAATTTTTTTCCTCAACTTGATGGGTGTAGAAATATTAAAGACAAAAATATTAGAAAAAAGTGAAGTTATTGGCCTTAAATCTACTTCAGAAAATAGTCAGATGTGATCTTCTTCAAGCAATACCCAAAGATTCAGTTTATTTCAGTTAAACTATATTACCACCATAGACCGAAGTTTCAAGTCTTGAGATGAAATGAAATTATATCTTTACAATAGCCCATTGTTATTAGAAAGGAAGAAATGTGTAATAATAACTGGTGCCAACATTCCCATCAGAGAGTCCAATACTAGTAGAGTGGGAGAAATGATACTTTGTTTCTCAACTGACCCTAATTCAAAATGTCTATTGCAAAAATGTAATAGAGTAGCCATAGCATCATTGACAGAACTAAGCACTAAGAAATTAGTGTGCTCTTTCAAATATTTAAAATTTGATGACTAACATGTTAATGTTTAAATTATGATACTTTCAATTCTGTGCAAAATTTTAGATTTTATTCGTACATACTAGAATTGATTCTATTAAGATGGCATTTATGTTTGGCTTCAGTTTGGGTTGAATACTGATTTCAATACCCTGCTGAGATGTACAGTTGATGTACCTCCAGAATATACCCTAGAGAAACTCTTGTATGTGTGCAACCAGGGATGTGTTCAAAATTCTTCAAACAGCACTGTTCATTATTTTAAAAACTGGAAACATAAATGCCTATTAACATTAAATTGAATATAAATCATGGTATATTCATGCAATCAAATGTTTCTTAAAGGTGAAAATAAACTAGAGATAGACACATCAACAGAGATGAATCAACCTAATTTGAGTGTAAGAATCAAGTCACTGAAGAATGCATGTGGTATAATTCCATCATGTAAATTCAAAACCAGACAAAATTAAACACATATTATCTGCAGATACATATGCAGATGTTAAAACTATTTCTAAAAACAAGGGAAGAATAATACACAATATGGGATCCTGGGTACCTCTGGGAAGGAGGCAGTAGAAAGGGAGAGTTGGGAGCACTTAGGAAGCTGTAAGCTAATGGCAATATCCTAGTTCTTGGGTCAGGTGATGAATTCATGTTTCATCATATGATTATGAAATGTAGTAAAAATAGTATTCTATGTATAGACCATTGTAACAATGTGCCATGAACCAAGAATTACAATTAATACAATACTGTGCACCTGGGACCCATGAGAAAAAGCAAGTAAAACTAGGAAATGATTATTCCCCTAAATCAGGATAGAGCTACCTGACCATAGCTTCCACTGGTGGATGACAAAAGAGGTCATGATTGGGAGCTTCTGAGATATTGGCAGTGGTCCAGTTCCCAAACTACATGGTAGATATGCAAGTGTTCATTTCATAACTATTTAGTAAGTGCATTTATACATTTCATACATTTTCTGTATGTATGTCCATACTTTTTCAAAGGTAAAAGAAAACATATACACATATGCACAAGGAAACATACATAGTACATGTTCATTTGTGTGTATTAAACACGTGGAGATAAGCTTTGGTAGAAAGAGACAGTGGTCACTGGGGATGGAAAAATCAGAAGTCAAAGAATCTCTTTTTAATCAGCCAGAGGCTTGGTTAGTTCTGCTTACACTCCATCTCTGTAACTGATGATCACAGAAATAAAATCGTATACTTAAAGCCAAGGCTTGGAACAGCTCCACTGGACTCACTTCATCTGTATAACAATTTTTATTATGAAGGTAATTCATATTATGTATATTTACAGTGATTTTTCTCTGCTACACCAAGTAACAAAATTTATGCAGGCATCACATAACATTGCCATATGTATCCTCTTTACCAGTTTTACTTCATATTTCCTATTTTTATCCCCCTTGACCAGCTCTGTTTCCACTGAATTTTATTAAGCGATATTTATCATCTATTAAACACGATTTTACAAACAAAAATGACATCCATAGGTCTACCAAACTAACATAATTATATTGTTTTGTGTATTTTCTTTCCACTCACATACATGGGATTCAATCTTAATGTATATAGTGTTTTAATTTCACTTTTTTCTTTTAACATCATGCTGTAAACATTTTTCCTTGTTATTCATGGTCTTCACAATTATGATTTTAATAGCTGAATAATATTCCACGGACTTAATGTTCCATAATTTACCGAACAATTTCACAATTGTTTTATAGGTATATTGTTTCTCAGAGACATTTTTATAGTTGTTATTGTAAAGCTGCTACAATGATTATTATTTTGCATATGCTTTGCTTCTGTGGAATTATGTCCCTAGGACACATTCCCTGGGGTGAGATTCCTGGGTTAAGGGCTATAACTATCTCCCTACACTTCTTGCTTTGTGTGGCCATATTGCATCCAAGAGAATCATACTAGTTTATAATTGTCACCAACAACGTACCAAAGTGCTAATTTGAATATAATCAGCCATTTGTGGGTTTAATCATTTCTGCTATCCTAAATTCTTGCAAGATAGAAATTCTTGACTCTGCTTTTCTCCCTTTTTGAAAAATTAAATCACATGTGAATGTGACTTGTCCATAATTTCTTTACCAACTAGATTGATTGCCACAACAGTTTTGACTTGGCACTGCTAATACCATTCAGGCTCTCCATCTCCACCATATGCTGTTTCTTCTGTGGCAGGATCTCATACTGGTCATAACCAGGCATTAGTTATAAGGAATCCATGTTGCATGAGATTCCCTTAACCAAGCATATCTCAGTACTTTTTGAAGATATTTTTAAGATCTTCATTCCCAAGTAGACTTCCTACGTTGTAAACAGTCTCTCAAGTAAACAATCTACATTGTTTTTCTGTCTGAATCTTGGACTTTTGCCTTCTCTCTACATCACTCTCAACATTTCCTGTTTTTATTTTATCATCTTTTTTTTTTGCATTTCTTTTTAAAAGAGCTCTCCTTTTCAACCAGTAAATGTATAGGGTCTGTTTGAAATTAACATCCTGCCATTGTCACTTTCTGCTGTCTGCAGTTTGAAGCACAAGAATATTAGAGACCAGAACAATGATGCATTCAGTAAGCCCAGGCCTAGACTTCTTTGTTTCAATGGGAGCTCCATCCAGTAGCATTTTAGTGACATCAGCCAGCTACTCGTGGATCCAAAACACCCCATCAGGGAGTCCACATACCTGCTGGGGAGAGGATAGAGAAGACACCAAAATCAATACCAGAATTTGCAGGTAACCCTGTTTTCTAAGGCAAACTCCTCAAGATATAGTCTCATAATTTCTTCTTTCATTTTATTCTTCCAATCTCTTTTTTATTTTCTCCCCTTCAAGAGTTTACAGTTGAACTCTTGCAACTTGTCTAGAACCTAAGGAAACAGAACCTCTAAAAAACTAATTTCAGCCATGAAGACACATAAGTAGTATTGCAAAGAGTGTTGCAGTCATAGAGAGGAATAACAACAAATAATGTTGATCAAAGTATTTAAAGGAATATTTCACTGTACTCAATGTTGAAATCCAAAGAGAATATAACTTATTGTCTTCTCACCTTCCATGTGTCTATCAAATGGCTGTCAGAATATGCTGCAGTAAGATAATACTGAAACTTCTATTTCAGAAACCATATTCTGATAAAAAAAATCTGTGCCAAATTATATCCTACCATTTTTTTCTCTTTACTACTGAATGTCTGGGAAGGGAATAGCCATTTCTTAAACAGTTTAATGGCAGATACTTGGTTAAAAACACACAGAAGGCAGAACTGTTTCAACTGCTTTTAATAAACATCCATTGCCTTCCATAGGCTGGCTTCAAGTTTAATGGCATCACATAATTTGAGAACAATTCAAGAAATGAAAATGGGCATTGCAATGCTCCCTTTAACACATTATCACCTCTAATATCATTCTTTTGTGCCTACTTAAACCTCAAATTAATTTTCATAGGCAATAACATTTACCAGTAAGTATATGTCATCCCTATATTAGAACTTGGGTTTCTACCTGAAACATTTTTCTTTTAGACCTAGCTGCAAAGTTGATATATCTAATTTCAGAACATGTGTATGCTGAACCTGTAAACACCTTTAGGTTATAACAGGTAACTCTCTGAGCTTTAATTTTTTTATAAGGAGGGTAAAACTTTCAGACTATGTTCCTATGCAAAGCAGAAATAACTGTTAACTAAACAAGTAACACAGGCCTGGTTCTCAGGGCTTGAAATATCCTAAAAAGTAGGCAAGAGTCATTAGCAGACTGGATGAGGAAGTTCAAAGTAATAAGGAGGACATACACAATACTGGGGACAAAGTCAGGGCTAATCATCAGAGAGAGCCAACCTGTGACTAGGGACTCATAGAGATTTATGGGGGAAAACCCATTTTTTGAGGTTTTTTTTCCAGAATGCTAGGTTTCTAAAGTATCTTCCTGGACCCTCCCCCCACCTAACAATTGAATTTTGGGTCATGGAACACATGCATTTCTGAATTTCCAGAAAAACAGAAAATTTTATGTGCTTCTAAAGAGATAAAAACAAACTACAAACAAATTTGTATTAGAAATCTTACATGAAACACTAGATTCTGGAAAACAACACAGCAATGTCTTTAAGCTACATCTACTTTAAACAGATTTGTTTGCTAAACCAACAAATAAAGGAATATGGTTTACAACATTCAAGGTTCAGAAAGCATACCATCCAAGATATATTCTTCCA